TTATTATCTCCAACCAATTCATACAATTCATATATATCAAATAAATAATTAACATAACTGCAAATCAGCAAATCTCTCTCACAGCAAATCTCTCTCTCTCTCACTCATATATATATATGTATATATATATATATATATATATATATATATATATATATATATATATATATTATTTACATTATTCGGACTATTGTCCCCATCTTGTCGCCATATTTATTACAACGTTTCGGCCGTTGTACTCCTGGCCTTCTTCAGGTGGTTGGAATGTCGAACTGAACCCTTTATTTCGCTCACTGGGGTGGACTGTTCTAGTTCCACGTGCCATGTTTGATGGATGTCAGTTATCAGTTATCTCCTGTTAATTTCCCTCTGTAAGTTCTCCACTGCCTTAACCGGGTATTGAACTGGCAGTCTTTGGGTCCTTTCACCCGATCTAATTAACGGCTTTATCCACTGTGCCATGTGTCCTTCAGAACATAGTATTCTATGGAATAAACTGCTACTTATTTTCTATATGTGCGGCAGCCTTTCCTAGAAAGGGGCGCAAGACAAGGAGATATCTTCTCAGCGCACTTATTTAAGCTTTACAGTGAGGCTGATCCTGGGAGAATTAGAATTTCTGTCTAGATTTATTACTGATGGTCGCGGTTTTAACGACATAAGACATGCAGATGACACGGCGTTAGGGCAGAAACAGAAAGAAAACCACAGGAAATTCCTACAGAAGTTATTAAAGGAAAGCGAGAAGAAAGGACTAACCATAAACTGTAACAAGATAGAATGAACGGTTGTCAATAAAAAAAAGGGAGCAACCCAAGATGCGGACAACAAATTGGAGGCATCAAAATCATGCAACTTCGAACATGTGGGTGGTGACCTGTTATGGTGGAACACACCTATTCTATAGTTAATAGACTCTCCCACCTAAAATAAGTAAGAGTAGTAAGAGTAACGAGGGGTCAGTCAGTAGTTCACTTCTGAACCGACTGTTCGGTTGAACTCTCTGCCTTCGGGCGGGGAGGAACCCGAACGATGCTACGCCGAAGGACGGAGTCTCTTTCGGGGAGGTAAACCGACCCTG